TGCCTTATCGCTGTATTGGTTGGCGGGTACGGCTGTCAATTTGTCTCCAGACGAAGTACAGTGTGGTTCTGTGCAATTACATCAAACTCGGTCTGGGCACTGCGCGCTTAAAAACATTGCGTGTGCACGACTTGCCAGGGCTGGAGAGGAAATTTACCTAGAAAGAAATGCGAAGAAGGATTTAGGTTTGGCATTGCTACGAGGAAAACGAGGAGGTGCGACTTCTTAAGTGATCAACATTTTTCTTCTAGTCAGAGGTAAATCTATGTAAATCCTTGCCATAATATATATATATATATATATCTTGCCATAATATATATTATGGTTGAATAGGCTATTATAATTGAATTGCCCAATGCAATTCAGAATGTTGCAAGCTGGTTGTTTATGTTGCGGGCATGGATGGGATCTCGAGGTCTGCAGTGGAGCTGGTTGTTATTATTATTACACGTTACGCGTGGCCTGATCCTGCGCCACCAGCAGCCGCAGGAAGGAATACGGTATGGGAGCATCGAGTGCGTAAACATAATTCAGCCTGCTGACAATATCAATATCGTCATATGCAGAAATATTTGCAGTTGTATAGCTAATCTCATGCTATTTTACACATTTTGTCATGAGGCTGAGAGTACATGTTGCAGTTTTAAAACTAATTTCATGTAATTAAAAAAATGATAATCATGCTATCTGAGGGTGCCCGACCTCCGGTGGGACCCCAAACCCGGGGTGTGTGCTATGCCAGTGAACATAAGGCAATAAGGGAGAGTTCCTGGGAGTTAAATGACCGGGTGTAACATGAATCTAAGGTTGCTTGCCCTAGGGCGCATTTTTAGCAAAAGTTTGGCCTGCCGGTTGCTGTAGCCAATCGGTACATTGTCGCTAAATGGGTCATGTGTATTATGGCTTCTGTGTTGGGTGTTGAATCGCCTGTAGCCTATTCCTCTAGTTGACCGTTGTCAAGTTATTTATTTGCATGTATCCTATAGACAACTGGCGCTAATAGACACGTGTTGCCTTAACATAGCACTTCAACTCCTGAATAGGACTGTTCCAAGTGTGATGATAAAAGGCAATGCTGAGTAAATACTTTTTCTGCATCAAAATGTCAAGACAGATGTTTTCTCAAAAAATGACATGTTACTGTACACACAACACAAGACAACATTTTGGATCATGTAACACACTCATGAACAAGGTGTGTGTATGTGTGTGTGTGCCTGCAGGCGTGTGTGTATGTTGAATCAACTTCCTTGCATTGCTAAACTGAGGCATCCCCACCATCTGTGGTGGCTAAAGGTCTGCCCTACATACAGTTATCCAGGCAGCCACTGTCTGACCAGATTCATGTGTGCAAATACACAAGCCCCCAACCAGACACACAGCCAACAACACACGTGACACCTGGACACATGATTTCATGCACAAACATGTGCGCACGCACACACACACCGGTCCACCACCACTTTCAATGTATGAATGGGTAGGTAGACTAACAGTATAGTTAGTAGGCTACTCATTGGTTTCTGACAATCATAAAAACAATAATATGCAGAGGTACACACACCATAACAGTTATGTCCGCCCCTCGAAGGCTCATACAGATCAAATAAGGGGAAACCCCAAAGGATTACATTGTCCACCCTCAAGATCAGATAAGGGGATTTGAGATTTGGTCTGTTGCTGTCAGTGATGTAACACATCACTATGCTGTCTGTTGCCCCTGAAACACTGATTGAGAGAGAGAGAGAGAGAGAGGAAACTACATAAAGCCTCCCATTGGAGCTGTGGGGCTGTGTGCTATGAAGGACAGCTAGGGCCCCAAACACAAGGACGCATGCTCCCCGGTCCGTCCGTCTCTCTCTCTCTCTCTCTCTCTCTCTCTCTCTCCCTCTCTCTCTCTCTCTCTCCCCCTCCCTCCCCCTCCCCCCCCCCCCCCCCGGCTGCTAGCACTATCATTGTCCCTCTGACTGTTCGACCGAGCGACCGCAGCAGCTCCTCTCCGGTTACATAAGCAAGGTTGTTTTTGTGATACCAGCGAGGACCTTTTGGCTGGTAAGTGATGTGGTATGTAGCGTGGCACCCAGACTATACCAATACCAGACAGCTCAGAACATCAGCCTTCAGGGGTGAGGCAGACAGAAATGGGAGAAGAAGGTGATGATGATGTGTCAGAAAAACACGCTTACAGTTTTTGCAAGCTCAGACAGCATTGGTGGATCCCATCTCTGTTATCTTTGTAGAATTATTTGACAGGGAGAGAATTTGTCTTGGTTAGTCTTTGGACTTATTTTTAGCTGTCTTAGATTTTCTTCTGTGATATGAAACAAAGAGGCAGGGTAGAGCCTCTACTTGCTGTGCTGTGTTGTTGTAGTGGCTGCATTTAGTCTACAAACAAATGCTGGGTCTTGAAAGAGATCCTTTTTTAGATGAGCACATCAAAAGATGATCTGGTGTATGAAAATTAGTGGAGGATTCTTCAATGTGTCGGTCAGCCTCTCACCTAAGGAACAACAGGTGCAACACGTTGAGTTGAACTATAAAATGTTAGATACAAGTGAATATATTCACCTGCTATTTCTATATCTGTTACACTCTTTCTATACATATGTCACATGGAGATGTAATTAAGCAATAAGGCCAGAGGAGGTGTGGTATATGGCCAATATACCACGGCTAAGGGCTGTTCTTATTACATTTACGTCATTTAGCAGACGCTCTTATCCAGAGCGACTTACAGTTAGTGAGTGCATACATAATTTTTTTCATACTGGCCCCCCGTGGGAATCGAACCCACAACCCTGGCGTTGCAAATGCCATGCTCTACCAACTGAGCTACTTCCCTGCCGGCCATTCCCTCCCCTACCCTGGACGATGCTGGGCCAATTGTGCGCCGCCCCAAGGGTCTCCCGGTCGCGGCCGGCTACGACAGAGTCTGGATTCGAACCAGGATCTCTAGTGGCACAGCTAGCACTGCGATGCAGTGCCTTAGACCACTGCACCACTCGGGAGTTATGCACATTTATTTTTACTACTTATGCACATTTATTTTTACTACTCTAATTACGTTGGTAACCTGTTTATAATAGCAATAAGGCACCTCAGGGGTTCGTGATATATGGCCAATATACCACAGCTAAGGGCTGTATCCAGGCACTCTGCGTTGTGTCGTGCTTAAGAACAGCCCTTAGCCGTGGTATATATCACAAACCCCCAAGGTGCTTTATTGCTATTATAAACTGGTTACCAACGTAATTAGAGTAGTAAAAATAAATGTTTTGTCATACCTGTGGTATACGGTCTGAGATACCACGGATGTCAGCCAATCAGCATTCAGGGCTCGAACCACCCAGTTTATAATATGTCTTATAACTGAGAGACCTGGACAAATTATTTTTCTATATGAGTCGAGGGTGGAAAATCATTACCAATGGAGGTGATTTGGAAGGCTAATGTGATTTGTGCAGACAAGCTGGTCTCTCCGTTTGTAATGCACATGAGACTCCGCTCTCATTTCATCTCTCAAGTCACTGACATACATTGGAAAAGCTTGGGAATGGATCCTTTGGAAGGAAAGTGGGAAAGTGACTCAGTGAGTCAAAAGGCAGTGACATAAGGCTTCTCTTTCACAATACTTGATTTTCCCATATCAACATACTATATCAACACTGCTTTGTAAGTGTGTGTTTCTATGTGTGTGTGTGTGTGAGATATCCCCATGAGACAGAAATAGACCTAGCTAATCAAACCAGAAATAGACCTAGGTAATCAAACCAGAAATAGACCTAGGTAATCAAACCAGAAATAGACCTAGGTAATCAAATCAGAAATAGACCTAGGTAATCAAACCACCCATTACAGAGTGTGGTTGACACGTCATCCATTAGCGCCGGAATATATTGGATTCATAGAGTACATAATTGCTTTGATAGTAAACTGTAACTAAATACATTGGAGCAGTATTTAGCTCCATATTTCAAGATAATGTCAGGGCAGGCTTTGAACCTGCTAGATGACAGATATACATGTCTCTAACCAAGGCTGTTTGACTAGATTAACCTCATTGCAACCTCATTTACTGCAAGGTTGGGGTCAATTCAGGAAGTTCCCATTCCAATATTCCTTAATGCGTTTCAATGAGGTAAATGTGGAATTGGAATTTCAAGTTTACTTCCTGAATTGAAATGGAATTGACCACAACCCTGGTTTAGAGTAACAACCTGTTCCTAATTGGAGTCTATGGAGATTGTGGAGATTACTTGGATCTGTGCTAAGCTGTGCTTTAGCCTTATCCTCACATTTCTGTCCTAAAATGACAGAGAGAAAGGAAAAGGCTTTGGGGTTAAAGTGTGTGTGTGTGTGTATGTGTGTGTGTGTGTGTGTGTGTGCGCGCAAGACCTTTGAGTGGTCTCTTTATGCCCCGGTCCCACACTGTTGGCTCAGAGGCAGAAGCCTACAGAGAAAACAAGGGCATGTCTTAAAGGCTTATAGCACACAGTCTTTCCCTCACAAGCCTCTTTGTGTTAACAGTCTAAAGTTCAATTATTTTTAGGCTACTGTCTCTCAGTATAATACAATGATCATGAGATCAGTCTATGCTTGACTCAGTATAGAATACCTGACATTTTTCATCTATCATAGGCTACATACACATTCATGCTCTGACATGCTCCACTGCAAAGTAATTTGCCTACTGAACATGAATTCATATGCAGAGAACAAATGGAGGCTAACAGATTTTCATATCTTACAGTATCTAAAGATAGACAATGATATGCATTATGCAGCAATGTAAAGGTATCCCTGTGGGAACTCATATATCAAAAATCCAAGGCACTTGAGTTAAAATCTCTTTATATCCACACATGGATGATCCTGGACCCAGATATGTTTGTGCTGTGTTGCCAACAATCTACACAAGGATTAGATAAAAAAACAACAACGAGGTTTCGACTATAGACCAGCTTCATCAGTGTGTATCTCCTGTGCTCCGCTTCACCAGGTGTGTGCCTCCCGCCCCGCCCCTCACCACGGCCCTCACCTGTGTGTTGCGGTGCTTCCCCTGCGAGCCTAGCTGGGCCGGCAGCCCCTTTCTGCACCGCCCCCCCACCCCGCCCCACCCGATGGTCAGGATGACGCGCTCCAAGACCTTCCAGGCCTACCTGCCCAGCTGCCACCGAACCTACAGCTGCATCCACTGCAGAGCGCACCTGGCCAACCACGATGAGCTCATCTCCAAGGTGAACACTGACTGTTTAACATACCGACCACAACCGTCCATCCCCTAATGACACTGCTTGCTCTAATAGTGTTTCCCTCAATCTATTCCACATTTCCTTTAAAGAGCCACTGAACACCCCTAATGGCACATACGATTTTCTGTTGCTCATTAGAAAAACTAGATTTCAGTCTTGGAGGTGTGTTTCCTGACCGATTCCGCGTTTGGTTAATGATGTTTGTCCCCTATGAGACACTGAAGCCTATTTAACTTTCCTCAAAATCCCCAGAATGAATCTAAGATAACTCAAGAAATCTGTAATTAAGTTTGACGTTTTTGCCGAGGATGTTTTAGTTGCGCAATTTTACATCTAAGGTGTTTGGTGCAGTATTTTTCAAGTAAGAAAATGCGCGAAGTGTTGTCTTATGTAAACAGTCAGAGCTGCTGGGCAGGTCTGTCTCACTGTCTATGCTATTGGATTAAGAGCAATCACCACAGCTGTTCACCCCATGTTAGTGGGCAAATAGACATTGTAATTTACCCGTTGTGACGCACGGATGTTCCAAACTCCATTTTAGACGAGACTGACTTTATAACCAAAATGATCCTATTTACACTTTGTAGTCAATTTAGACACTAGAATAACTGTATCTGACTCATATCGATGCCACATAGGCCGTTTTCAAAGAGATTTGTTGCTTTTTATAGGCAGTCACTCTTTGAAGCCCAGCACTAACACACCTGTGTGGTGTTCATTAGGGCATGCAACTGAAAAAGTTTCCAAACGTTTTACAACAGAAAATGAGTGTTTCTTGTTTGACAAGTCCAGGTAGACACTGTTTTGAACTTGACCCTGATTCTACTAATCAAGGGTTTGGGGATTAGCTGAATCAGGTATGTAAGGGAAACACTGCCCTAATGTACAAGTCATTCCCAAGAGAGAGCATGAGAGAACATGCTACTGTTGGGCTCTAGGGCTTACTTGAAAGAGATGTCCATGTCTACTTGACTTCCCTGGTTAAATAAAGGATACACTGTATAAATACTGTAGTTTTTTATAGATTAATTTGAACATTCAATGAATCGCACTGTAATAACTAGAAAGGTATTGAGTGCTTGCTGCGTCTGTCTTAAAGCTCTGCTGGCAGACTCCTTCACACTTGGACCTAGTATTACAGCTGATGCTGCACTTTCAGACTGGAAACGAGCCTACTGCACCTCTGTGTGGCTCATTTCACCGCCATCTTACTTCTACAGCTTGTGTGTGTGTGTTAGAATATTACTTTTCCCATGTGCTACACTATGTAAAGTAAACCCTCACCTGTACAAAAAGCACATGTCTGTCAGTCAGTCAGTCTTACTTTAAAGGCAAAATCTGGGATATTTCCTGCTGTTCAATGATCATGTCAATGAAGTGGGGGGGCTGAAACAAAAACTCCAGATTATGGCTTTAATGCTGACTGCTGAGGATACTCCTCCTCCTTTTTAACCTACTTATCATCTTTTCCTGCAGTCTTTCCAGGGCAGCCAAGGGAGAGCTTATCTGTTCAACTCAGTGTGAGTATCAGTGTGTCTGCATATAGTTACAGTACAGCCATGATCCAGTCCTCAGCCCGCGAGCACAATCACAATGAGTATGAAATGAAGATGCTCATTTCTACTGTATGAACATGGTCCCTATCTAGCTCAGTATGAAGTGCCTTTGGGTAATAATATCTAGTGTGTGAGTGGGCGTGTTATGACTCAGTACAGACAGGCAACCTTTACGAATCGAACAGCTGATGAGCTTGCTTTCTCTCGCTCTCTCTCCCTTCTCTCTCTCGCTCTCTCTTAGGGTGAACGTGGGGTGTGGGCCGGCGGAAGAGAGGGTGTTGCTCACGGGGCTGCATGCTGTGGCAGATATCTACTGTGAGAACTGCAAGACAACTCTGGGTTGGAAATATGTGAGTAAGAGTGTGCACGTCAGGGGAGGTTAGAAGAATGGCAGATACTGTACCTAGAGTTAGAGAGGACAGGCACGGGCACATTATTACCTTTATTACCTTATTAGATCATTGTAGGATTGAAACGCTATTAACTAATAAAGGTTTTGGAACAATTGAGTGTGCAGGCCCTACTTCACTTTTCATGTTATCGTATTGACATGGATGAGTTCTGGTCTTCATTTTGGACCCCGAGACTATTTTGGGCCCATCATTCCTAACATCAGTGTAACATTACAGTACATAGGCTGACTCAGTAAAGGGATTCCTTGCAGTCCCAATCTTGATCTAAGGGGGATATTTCTCATGATGTAGGCCTATTCATTTTCGAAGTACTCAACCAACTTGACCTCCTTCTCCTAGTTCAGAGATGGTGGCCATTCATGATGGACCAGAGCTGGGCTGTCCACACTGAGATAACTGTAGTGATTCAAGACCAGTTTGACCAGCAACAAGAACAACTGCTTATCCAATCACAAATTAGACAAAGGGTTAGAATTCATTCAAAAATATAAAATCTGTTTTTATGTATACAGAATAAGTAGGCCCTATATGTCATGTAGCCTATATATAATGTAGCCTATATACTGTATAATGTAGCCTATATACTGTATAATGTAGCCTATATACTGTATAATGTAGCCTATATACTGTATAATGTAGCCTATATACTGTATAATGTAGCCTATATATAATGTAGCCTATATACTGTATAATGTAGCCTATATATAATGTAGCCTATATACTGTATAATGTAGCCTATATACTGTATAATGTAGCCTATATATAATGTAGCCTATATACTGTATAATGTAGCCTATATACTGTATAATGTAGCCTATATATAATGTAGCCTATATACTGTATAATGTAGCCTATATACTGTATAATGTAGCCTATATATAATGTAGCCTATATACTGTATAATGTACCCTATATCTAATGTAGCCTATATATAATGTAGCCAATACAGTGGGGAAAAAGTATTTAGTCAGCCACCAATTGTGCAAGTTCTCCCACTTAAAAAGATGAGAGAGGCCTGTAATTTTCATCATAGGTACACGTCAACTATGACAGACAAATTGAGATTTCTTTTCTCCAGAAAATCACATTGTAGGATTGTTAATGAATTTATTTGCAAATTATGGTGGAAAATAAGTATTTGGTCAATAACAAAAGTTTCTCAATACTTTGTTATATACCCTTTGTTGGCAATGACACAGGTCAAATGTTTTCACAAGGTTTTCACACACTGTTGCTGGTCCATTCCTCCATGCAGATCTCCTCTAGAGCCATGATGTTTTGGGGCTGTCGCTGGGCAACACGGACTTTCAACTCCCTCCAAAGATTTTCTATGGGGTTGAGATCTGGAGACTGGCTAGGCCACTCCAGGACCTTGAAATGCTTCTTACGAAGCCACTCCTTCGTTGCCCGGGTGGTGTGTTTGGGATCATTGTCATGCTGAAAGACTCAGCCACGTTTCATCTTCAATGCCCTTGCTGATGGAAGGGGGTTTTCACTCAAAATCTCACGATACATGGCCCCATTCATTCTTTCCTTTACACGGATCAGTCGTCCTGGTCCCTTTGCAGAAAAACAGCCCCAAAGCATGATGTTTCCACCCCCATGCTTCACAGTAGGTATGGTGTTCTTTGGATGCAACTCAGCATTCTTTGTCCTCCAAACACGACGAGTTGAGTTTTTACCAAAAAGTTCTATTTTGGTTTCATCTGACCATATGACATTCTCCCAATCCTCTTCTGGATCATCCAAATGCACTCTAGCAAACTTCAGACGGGCCTGGACATGTACTGGCTTAAGCAGGGGGACACGTCTGGCACTGCAGGATTTGAGTCCCTGGCGGCGTAGTGTGTTACTGATGGTAGGCTTTGTTACTTTGGTCCCAGCTCTCTGCAGGTCATTCACTAGGTCCCCCCGTGTGGTTCTGGGATTTTTGCTCACCGTCCTTGTGATCATTTTGACCCCACGGGGTGAGATCTTGCGTGGAGCCCCAGATCGAGGGAGATTATCAGTGGTCTTGTATGTCTTCCATTTCCTAATAATTGCTCCCACAGTTGATTTCTTCAAACCAAGCTGCTTACCTATTGCAGATTCAGTCTTCCCAGCCTGGTGCAGGTCTACAATTTGGTTTCTGGTGTCCTTTGACAGGTCTTTAGTCTTGGCCATAGTGGAGTTTGGAGTGTGACTGTTTGAGGTTGTGGACAGGTGTCTTTTATACTGATAACAAGTTCAAACAGGTGCCATTAATACAGGTAACGAGTGGAGGACAGAGGAGCCTCTTAACAAAGAAGTTACAGGTCTGTGAGAGCCAGAAATCTTGCTTGTTTGTAGGTGACCAAATACTTATTTTCCACCATAATTTGCAAATAAATTCATAAAAAAATCCTACAATGTGATTTTCTGGATTTTTTTTTCTCATTTTGTCTGTCATAGTTGACGTGTACCTATGATGAAAATTACAGGCCTCTCTCATCTTTTTAAGTGGGAGAACTTGCACAATTGGTGGCTGACTAAATACGTTTTTTCCCCACTGTATATAAGGATATAGATGTGGACATCAATCTGAGTTGTACTGAAACAGAACAACAGTTACAGTACATACAGTTAGTGTGCCTCCAGTACTTGGTGAAGGCGATATTTCTAGCACCAGGTGAAATTTGTGGAACTAGTACTGTGTGTGTGTGTGTGTGTGTGTGTGTGTGTATGTATATACAGGGGATATAAAAAGTATACACACCCCTGTTAAAATGCCATGTTTTTGTGATGTAAAAGAATGAGATAAATCATGTCAGAACTTTTTCCACTGTTAATGTGACCTATAATGTGAACAATTCAACTGAAAAACAAACTAAAATCTTCGAGGGGGGAAAATGAAAAATAAAAACCTTCCAATAACCTGGTTGCATAAGTGTGCACACCCTCTTATAACTGGGGATGTGGCTGTGTTCAGAATTAACCAATCACATTCAAACTCATGTTAAATAGAAGTCATTACACACCTGCCATCATTTAAAGTGACTCTGATTAATCACAAATAAATATCAGCCTGACATTTTCTTAGTTGCATCTCAGAGCAAAAGCCATGGTCCGCAGAGAGCTTCCAAGGCATCAGAGGGATGTCATTGTTGAAAGATATCAGTCAGGAGAAGGATACAAAATAATTTCCAAAGCATTACATATACCATAGAACACAGTGAAGACAGTCATCATCAAGTGGATAAAATATGGCACAACAGAGACATTAACAAGAACTGGACGTCCCTCCAAAATTTATGAAAAGACTAGAAGAAAACTGGTCAGGGAGGCTTCCAAGAGGCCTACAGCAACATTAAAGGAACTGCAGGAATTTCTGGCAAGTACTGGCTGTGTGCTACATGTGACAACAATCTCCCGTATTCTTCATATGAATGGCCTATAGGGTAGGGTGGCAAGACGGAAGCCTTTTCTTACAAAGAAAAACATCCAAGCCCGGCTGAAGTTTGCAAAAACAAACATCAAGTCCCCTAAAAGCACGTGGGAAAATGTGTTATGGTCTGATGAAACCAAGGTTGAACTTTTTGGCCATAATTCCAAAAGGTATGTTTGGCGCAAAAACAACACTGCACATCACCCAAAGAACACCATACCCACAGTGAAGGATGGTGGTGGCAGCATCATGTTTTGGGGCTGTTTTTCTTCAGCTGGAACCGGGGCCTTAGTCAGGGTGGCAGTAATTATGAACAGTTCCAAATACCAGGCAATTTTGGCACAAAACCTTCAGGCGTCCATTAGAAAGCTGAAGATGAAGAGGAAGTTCACCTTTCAGCACGACAACGACCCAAAGCACACATCCAAATCCACAAAAGCATGGCTTCACCAGAAGAAGATTAACGTTTTGGAATGGCCCAGCCAGAGCCCAGACCTGAATCCAATTGAACATCTCTGGGGTGATCTGAAGAGGGCTGTGCACAGGAGATGTCCTCGCAATCTGACAGATTTGGAGCGCTTTTGCAAAGAAGAGTGGGCAAATATTGCCACGTCAAGATGTACTATGCTAATAGACTCCTACCCAAAAAGACTGAGTGCTGTAATAAAATCAAAAGGTGCTTCAACAAAGTATTAGTTTAAGGGTGTGCACACTTATGCAACCAGGTTATTGTGATTTTTTTATTTTTTTATTTTTCCCCATCAAAGATTTCAGTTTGTTTTTCAATTGAATTGTTCATGTTATAGGTCACATTAAAGGTGGAAAAAGTTCTGACATGATTTATCTTTGTCTCATTCTTTTACATCACAAAAACCTGGCATTTTAACAGGGGTGTGTAGACTTTTTATATCCACTGTGTATATATATATATACAGTGGGGAAAAAAAGTATTTAGTCAGCCACCAATTGTGCAAGTTCTCCCACTTAAAAAGATGAGAGAGGCCTGTAATTTTCATCATAGGTACACGTCAACTATGACAGACAAATTTAGAAAACAAAATCCAGAAAATCACATTGTAGGATTTTTTATGAATTTATTTGCAAATTATGGTGGAAAATAAGTATTTGGTCACCTACAAACAAGCAAGATTTCTGGCTCTCACAGACCTGTAACTTCTTCTTTAAGAGGCTCCTCTGTCCTCCACTCGTTACCTGTATTAATGGCACCTGTTTGAACTTGTTATCAGTATAAAAGACACCTGTCCACAACCTCAAACAGTCACACTCCAAACTCCACTATGGCCAAGACCAAAGAGCTGTCAAAGGACACCAGAAACAAAATTGTAGACCTGCAATAGGCTGGGAAGACTGAATCTGCAATAGGTAAGCAGCTTGGTTTGAAGAAATCAACTGTGGGAGCAATTATTAGGAAATGGAAGACATACAAGACCACTGATAATCTCCCTCGATCTGAGGCTCCACGCAAGATCTCACCCCGTGGGGTCAAAATGATCACAAGAACGGTGAGCAAAAATCCCAGAACCACACGGGGGGACCTAGTGAATGACCTGCAGAGAGCTGGGACCAAAGTAACAAAGCCTACCATCAGTAACACACTACGCCGCCAGGGACTCAAATCCTGGCCCGTCTGAAGTGTGCTAGAGTGCATTTGGATGATCCAGAAGAGGATTGGGAGAATGTCATATGGTCAGATGAAACCAAAATATAACTTTTTGGTAAAAACTCAACTCGTCGTGTTTGGAGGACAAAGAATGCTGAGTTGCATCCAAAGAACACCATACCTACTGTGAAGCATGGGGGTGGAAACATCATGCTTTGGGGCTGTTTTTCTGCAAAGGGACCAGGACGACTGATCCGTGTAAAGGAAAGAATGAATGGGGCCATGTATCGTGAATTTTTAAGTGAAAACCTCCTTCCATCAGCAAGGGCATTGAAGATGAAACGTGGCTGGGTCTTTCAGCATGACAATGATCCCAAACACACCGCCCGGGCAACGAAGGAGTGGCTTCGTAAGAAGCATTTCAAGGTCCTGGAGTGGCCTAGCCAGTCTCCAGATCTCAACCCCATAGAAAATCTTTGGAGGGAGTTGAAAGTCCGTGTTGCCCAGCGACAGCCCCAAAACATCACTGCTCTAGAGGAGATCTGCATGGAGGAATGGGCCAAAATTGGGCCAGCAACAGTGTGTGAAAACCTTGTGAAGACTTACAGAAAACGTTTGACCTGTGTCATTGCCAACAAAGGGTATATAACAAAGTATTGAGAAACTTTTGTTATTGACCAAATACTTATTTTCCACCATAATTTGCAAATAAATTCATAAAAAATCCTACAATGTGATTTTCTGGATTCTTTTTTCTAATTTTGTCTGTCATAGTTGACATGTACCTATGATGAAAATTACAGGCCTCTCTCATCTTTTTAAGTGGGAGAACTTGCACAATTGGTGGCTGACTAAATACATTTTTTCCCCACTGTATATATATATATATATATATATATATATATATATATATATATATATATATATTACCAGTCAAAAGTTTGGACACACCTACTCATTCCAGGGTTTTTCTTTATTATTACTATTTTCTACATTGTAGAATAATAGTGAAGACATCAAAACTATGAAATAACACATATGGAATCATGTGCCAAGAGTGTGCAAAGCTGTCATCAAGGCAAAGGGTGGCTATGTGAAGAATCTCAAATATAAAATATATTTTGATTTGTTTAACACTTTGGTTACTACATGATTCCATGTGTTATTTAATAGTTTTGATGTCTTCACTATTATTCTACAATGTAAAAAAAAATTTAAATAAAGAAAAACCCTTGAATGAGTAGGTGTGTCCAAACTTTTGACTGATAGTGTATGTATATATACAGTTGAAGTCGGAAGTTTACATACATTTAGGTTGGAGTCATTAAAACTTGTTTTCAACCACTCCACAAATTTCTTGTTAACTAACTATAGTTTTGGCAAGTCGGTTAGGACATCTACTTTGTGCATGACACAAGTCATTTTTCCAACAATTGTTTACAGACAGTCTGGTTCATCCTTGGGAGCAATTTCAAAATGCCTGAAGGTACCACGTTCATCTGTAAAAACAATAGTATGCAAGTATAAACACCATGGGACCACGCAGCCATCATACCGCTCAGGAAGGAGACTCGTTCTGTCTCCTAGAGATGAACGTACTGGGAATGTGATGAAAGAAATACAAGCTGAAATAAATCATTCTCTCTACTATTATTCTGACGTTTCACATTCTTAAAATAAAGTGGTGATCCTAACTGACTTAAGACAGGGAATTTTAACTAGGATTAAATGTCAGAAATTGTGAAAAACTGAGTTGAAAGGTATTTGGCTAAGGTGTATGTAAACTTCTGACTTCAACTGTGTATATGTGTGTATATATATATATATATATATATATACACACACAGTGGGGAGAACAAGTATTTGATACACTGCCGATTTTGCAGGTTTTCCTACTTACAAAGCATGTAGAGGTCTGTAATTTTGATCATAGGTACACTTCAACTGTGAGAGACGGAATCTAAAACAAAAATCCAGAAAATCACATTGTATGATTTTTAAGTAATTAATTTGCATTTTATTGCATGACATAAGTATTTGATACATCAGAAAAGCAGAACTTAATATTTGGTACAGAAACCTTTGTTTGCAATTACAGAGATCATACGTTTCCTGTAGGTCTTGACCAGGTTTGCACACACTGCAGCAGGGATTTTGGCCCACTCCTCCATACAGACCTTCTCCAGATCCTTCGGGGCTGTCGCTGGGCAATACGGACTTTCAGCTCCCTCCAAAGATTTTTCTATTGGGTTCAGGTCTGGAGACTGGCTAGGCCACTCCAGGACCTTGAGATGCTTCTTACGGAGCCACTCCTTAGTTGCCCTGGCTGTGTGTTTCGGGTCGTTGTCATGCTGGAAGACCCAGCCACGACCCATCTTCAATGCTCTTACTGAGGGAAGGAGGTTGTTGGCCAAGATCTCGCGATACATGGCCCCATCCATCCTCCCCTCAATACGGTGCAGTCGTCCTGTCCCCTTTGCAGAAAAGCATCCCCAAAGAATGATGTTTCCACCTCCATGCTTCACGGTTGGGATGGTGTTCTTGGGGTTGTACTCATCCTTCTTCTTCCTCCAAACACGGCGAGTGGAGTTTAGACCAAAAAGTTATATTTTTGTCTCATCAGACCACATGACCTTCTCCCATTCCTCCTCTGGATCATCCAGATGGTCATTGGCAAACTTCAGACGGGCCTGGACATGCGCTGGCTTGAGCAGGGGGACCTTGCGTGCGCTGCAGGATTTTAATCCATGACGGCGTAGTGTGTTACTAGTGGTTTTCTTTGAGACTGTGGTCCCAGCTCTCTTCAGGTCATTGACCAGGTCCTGCCGTGTAGTTCTGGGCTGATCCCTCACCTTCCTCATGATCATTGATGCCCCACGAGGTGAGATCTTGCATGGAGCCCCAGACCGAAGGTGATTGACCGTCATCTTGAACTTCTTCCATTTTCTAATAATTGCGCCAACAGTTGTTGCCTTCTCACCAAGCTGCTTGCCTATTGTCCTGTAGCCCATCCCAGCCTTGTGCAGGTCTACAATTTTATCCCTGATGTCCTTACACAGCTCTCTGGTCTTGGCCATTGTGGAGAGGTTGGAGTCTGTTTGATTGAGTGTGTGGACAGGTGTCTTTTATACAGGTAACGAGTTCTAACAGGTGCAGTTAATACAGGTAATGAGTGGAGAACAGGAGGGCTTCTTAAAGAAAAACTAACAGGTCTGTGAGAGCCGGAATTCTTACTGGTTGGTAGGTGATCAAATACTTATGTCATGCAATAAAATGCAAATTAATTACTTAAAAATCATACAATGTGATTTTCTGGATTTTTGTTTTAGATTCCGTCTCTCACAGTTGAAGTGTACCTATGATAAAAATTACAGACCTCTACATGCTTTGTAAGTAGGAAAACCTGCAAAATCGGCAGTGTATCAAATACTTGTTCTCCCCACTGTGTATATATACACTGCTCAAAAAAATAAAGGGAACACTTAAACAACACAATGTAACTCCAAGTCAATCACACTTCTGTGAAATCAAACTGTCCACTTAGGAAGCAACACTGATTGACAATACATTTCACATGCTGTTGTGCAAATGGAATAGACAACAGGTGGAAATTATAGGCAATTAGCAAGACACCCCCAATAAAGGAGTGGTTTTGCAGTTGGTGACCACAGACCACTCAGTTCCTATGCTTCCTGGCTGATGTTTTGGTCACTTTTGAATGCTGGCGGTGCTTTCCCTCTAGTGGTAGCATGAGACAGAGTCTACAACCCACACAAGTGGCTCAGGTAGTGCAGCTCATCCAGTATGGCACATCAATGCGAGCTGTGGCAAGAAGGTTTGCTGTGTCTGTCAGCGTAGTGTCCAGAGCATGGAGGCGCTACCAGGAGACAGGCCAGTACATCAGGAGACGTGGAGGAGGCCGTAGGAGGGCAACAACCCAGCAGCAGGACTGCTACCGCCGCCTTTGTGCAAGGAGGAGCAGGAGGAGCACTGCCAGAGCCCTGCAAAATGACCTCCAGCAGGCCACAAATGTGCATGTGTCTGCTCAAACGGTCAGAAACAGACTCCATGAGGGTGGTATGAGGGCCCGACGTCCACAGGTGGGGGTTGTGCTTACAGCCCAACACCGTGCAGGACGTTTGGCATTTGCCAGAGAACACCAAGATTGGCAAATACGCCACTGGCGCCCTGTGCTCTTCACAGATGAAAGCAGGTTCACACTGAGCACATGTGACAGACGTGACACAGTCTGCAGACGCCGTAGATAACGTTCTGCTGCCTGCAACATCCTCCAGCATGACCGGTTTGGCGGTGGGTCAGTCATGGTGTGGGGTGGCATTTCTTTGGGGGGCCGCACAGCCCTCCATGTGCTCGCCAGAGGTAGCCTGACTGCCATTAGGTACCGAGATGAGATCCTCAGACCCCTTGTGAGACCATATGCTGGTGCGGTTGGCCCTGGGTTCCTCCTAATGCAAGACAATGCTAGACCTCATGTGGCTGGAGTGTGTCAGCAGTTCCTGCAAGAGGAAGGCATTGATGCTATGGACTGGCCCACCCATTCCCCAGACCTGAATCCGATTGAGCACATCTGGGACATCATGTCTCGCTCCATCCACCAACGCCACGTTGCACCACAGACTGTCCAGGAGTTGGCGGATGCTTTAGTCCAGGTCTGGGAGGAGATCCCTCAGGAGACCATCCACCACCTCATCAGGAGCATGCCCAGGCGTTGTAGGGAGGTCATACAGGCACGTGGAGGCCACACACACTACTGAGCCTCATTTTGACTTGTTTTAAGGACATTACATCAAAGTTGGATCAGCCTGTAGTGTGGTTTTCCACTTTAATTTATAGGGTGACTCCAAATCCAGACCTCCATGGGTTGATAAATTTGATTTCCATTTATAATTTTTGTGTGATTTTGTTGTCAGCACATTCAACTATGTAAAGAAAAAAGTATTTAATAAGATTATTTCATTCATTCAGATCTAGGATGTGTTATTTTAGTGTTCCCTTTATTTTTTTGAGCATTGTGTGTATATATATATATATATTATTAATAGATGTGGACAGCTTTATATTTGCACTGAAATATAATTGTGCATCCATGTTTAGTACTTAGAAAAGGTGTAATTTCTAGCAGCAGGTCAATGTGGAACACACAGCCGCTCCACATACCAGCTGTCCCGTTTATCAGCATGGCTTCACTGCCACTTCCCCCTCAGACCCCTGTGTGTGTGTGTGTGTGTGTGTGGGGGGGGGGGGGGGGGGTTATGACTCATACATACCTCACACGTCTGCCCAGATATAACGAAACGCGGGGCGAGGCCATTAATATCCCTGACACGGTTGTTTCTACACCGTCGTCCAAGTTCCACAGACGCTTGACCCAGTGGACTTCCAGACCGTGAAACCTGATAACGCCTCTCTCTGCTTGAATAGGAAAGACTAAATAGGATATTGAGATGTACAGTAAAAACACATTTGACTACATTTGTTTTCAGTGGCAATGAGTGTGAAGTCTCTCATCCTGGAAAAGCCTCATCTGCTTTCTCCCTTCCTTCTTCTCTCTTCCCTTTCCCTCTCTCCCCCTCCCTCTTTTTCCCCTCTCTCCCTCCCTCACCCCGTCTATTTCCCCACCCTGACACTCCCCCACAGGAGCATGCCTTTGAGAGCAGTCAGAAGTACAAGGAGGGCAAGTTCATCATCGAGCTGGCCCACATGATCAAGGACAACGGCTGGGACTGAAAGACGAAGCGTCGTCCGTGACTCGGTTGGGGATTGAATGGGGGTGGATGGGAGGGAGGGAGGTGAGTGTGCAACTTTGATTTACCATGGACCTCTGTCCTCCCCTCCCCTCCTGATGACACACCCCAGCAGCCTCCAGGGTGGAGGTAGTAGGGGAGTGTGGGTGAGGCTGTAGGAGTAGCCTGACCTGCCCCTCTGCGCTCTGTGTGTGTCTGGACTGGAGGAGGATGTCACTGGGGATGGATGGACACCACCAGACACACGCGCAATGGCAAGCAAACACACATGCATACAAACAAACAAACAAACAAACATGCATGTCCCAGACCAACATCCCAGCCTGATGGGTAGCTCTTCAGATAGAGAGCCAGGCCAAAGCCAGTGTTGTTGTGTTACTATCTATGTTAGGGCTGGCTGGCCTGCCGTGTGAGGAGGGACCAGGCCCTGCAGGGTCAGTAGCCTTGGGTTAAAGAGCTGATGGGAGCTCTCGTCAGTGTGTGTGAATGAGATGGCCTAAGATGATTATCCCCAAATCCAGCTGATCTAATCCACCCAAGGCCGTGCCAGCTGGGACAGTGATGAGGCCTGGTGTTAAGGTTTGGCACTGAGGCCTGTAGGGGCTGGGCGGGGGAAGGGTTGAGGGGAGGAGGGTCAGAGAGAGGGCAGGTCCTGATTCTGGATTCTAGTCCACCCTGGTTGTGGGGTTGTAGTAGCAGCTGGTTGCACAGCCGTGTGATCCACTCCAGGGTTTAGTGGAAGACGTTTTTGTTTTGAGAGTCAGGATGATAGGGAGTGTGAAAGAATTCAAGGATATGTCTAAACTCTGAGAAGAATCTGATCAGTCAGTGCTTTGGCTTTCTCCATCATCTGTAGATGCCCGAAATCATGTCTTGTGATGTTTGGATCCTTCATGTGTTGTGTCTGATGTAAGTTATGATACATCTACCATCACCACTTTGGATTAAATTGAACTATGGAAATCTTTGACTTTTGAAGCTCTGACTTGAACAGGCTTGGAGATTGGTTCTAGTGTTTTGGCCTGGTATGGTAACTGAAAGCAATTGGGATGTGGAGGCCTTTAGGAGATGCTCTTATGAAGCTCTGAAAGGTTGATGTTCTGAAGCTTTCTTTCAGTCTGGGATGACCATAGCAGTTTATAGATTGTTACACACTAATTTACTACCTGGCCCTCACTTAAAACACTGAACAGCAAAGCCGTACAGTAGACGTGTGGATTTTCTAAACAGAAGCCAACTAAGCAACACAACTAATCAAACTAATCTCCCTGATTACCACGGCAACTGACTGGCAGTCGAGACTTCCAATCAGAGGCTGTAGAAGGCCCTTGCACAACCAAAGAACCCACCCATCTAAAATAAATTGACCAAACACAATATTATATATGTTTTTGCTTGGGTCAAAGTGTTGCAAAACGTGGGGTTGAGAATTGTTGTTGAAAGCCAAGGTTATGGATAACCTTTCTCTGTGATATAATGCATTATGATTTTTGTAAATGACAGATCTTAATATATACATATATTATAATTGATGTCAATCTCTGTGTTACTAAATGTAAATAGTAATATGTAATGTATATTTTATCTATGATCGTCATGAATATGATTTGGATTCTTGCCATGCTTTCTCTCTGGTATAGCCCTCGTCGGTTGAACGATATTTACTACTTTTTTACTCTTTGAAAATGTTTCAATTTTAGTGTCTTTTGTAAAGGAGGAGATAGGAGTGACAATATCATTGGAACTTGGTCAATTAAAGCATCACCTTGATACCTGTATTGGATGTGTTCTGCGTGCTATGTTGGTCTTGGATATACATCACCATAATGTATCAAGTATCAGGGTCCATGTTCTTTCTATATAGAACAGAATATGATAGTGACATAGAATATGATAGTGACATAGGCTAAGGACAGACCAGAACTATATATACAGCCATATACAATAGCCTACATCTCGTATACATATGCTAATACAGTGTACAGTATACAGTGAGTTGGGAAAGTATTCAGACCCCTTGACTTTTTGCACATTTTGTTACGTTACAGCCTTATTCTAAAATGGATTACATTATTTTCCCCCTCATCAATCTACACACAACACCCCATAATGACAAAACAAAAACAATTTTTTTGCAAATGTATTAAAAATAAAAAAACATACCTTATTTACATAAGTATTCAGACCCTTTGCTATGAGACTCGAAATTGAGCTCAGGTGCATCCTTTCCATTGATCATCCTTGAGATGTTTATATAACTTGATTGGAGTCCACCTGTGGTAAATTCAATTGATTGGACATGATTTGTAAAGGCACCCACTTGTCTATATATGGTCCCACAGTTGACAGTGCATGTCAGAGCAAAAACCAAGCCATGAGGTCGAAGGAATTGTCCGTAGAGCTCCGAGACAGGATTGTGTCAAGGCACAGATCTGGGGAAGGGTACCAAAAATGTCTGCAGCATTGAAGGTCCCCAAGAACACAGTGGCCTCCATCATTCGTAAATAGAAGAAGTTTGGAATCACTAAGACTCTTCCTAGTGTTGGCCGCCCGGCAAAACTGAGCAATCGGGGGAGAAGGGCCTTGGTCAGGGAGGTGACCAAGAACCCTATGGTCACTCTGACAGAGCTCCAGAGTTCCTCTGTGGAGATAGGAGAACCTTCCAGAAGGACAACCATCTCTGCAGCACTCCACCAATCAGGCCTTTATGATAGAAAGGCCAGACGGAAGCCACTCCTCAGTAAAAGGCACATGACAGCCCGCTTGGAGTTTGCCAAAAGGTGAGTAACAAGATTCTCTGGTCTGATGAAACCAAGATTGAACTCTTTGGCCTGAATGCCAAGCGTCACATCTGGAGGAAACCTGGCACCATCCCTATGGTGAAGCATAGTGGTGGCAGCATCATGCTGTGAGGATGTTTTTCAGGGACAGAGACTGGGAGACTAGTCAGGATCGAGGGAAAGATGAAGGGAGCAAAGGACAGAGATACCATTAATGAAAACCTGCTCCAGAGCGCTCAGGACCTCAGACTGGGGCAAAGGTTCACCTTCCAACAGGACAACGACCCTAAGCACACAGCCAAGACAATGCAGGAGTGGCTTCGGGACAAGTCTCAATGTCCTTGAGTGGCTCTGCCAGAGCCTTGACTTGAACCCGGTCGAACATCTCTGGAGAGACCTGAAAATGGCTGTGCAGCAATGCTCCCCATCCAACCTGACAGAGTTTGAGAGGATCTGCAGAGAAGAATGGGAGAAACTCCCCAAATACAGGTGTGCCAAGCTTGTAGCATCATACCCAAGAAGACTCGAGGTTGTAATCGCTGCCAAAGGTGTTTCAACAAAGTACTGAGTAAAGGGTCTGAATACTTATGTAAATGTGATATTAGTTTTAATTTTAGCAAAAATTTATGAAAAACACTTTTTACTTTGTCATTATGTGGTATTGTGTGTAGATTGGTGAGAAAAAAAAGTAATCCATTTTAGAATAAGTCTGTAACGTAACAAAATGTGGAAATAGTCAACGGGTCTGAACTTTCCGAATGTATAAATAGTGGAAAAACGAAATAGCAGTTTCACCTTATCTATAGCAGCTCTTGACTGACTATACATCACAACTTTTAGCCTCATCAAAAACAAATGTGATTATTTTAGCCCGAAACCCATGCTGTTTTCGTTGGGAGGGGAACAGATTTCAGGGGCGAGTGTGTGGGCTGATTTCACACCTGCAATTTGTCTGTTTCTGTATCTCTCTTACCCATCCCCTCCTCTCCTTTATCTCCCTCTCCTATCCCTCTCCTTTCACTTTCCTGATCTTCTCCCTCGCCCTCCTATCATTCACTCTTTCCTTCCCCCTCCAACTCCAACTCGTCTCCCCTGGTGGAGGGGTTTCCAGGGGAGGCTTGGTGCCAGGCTGAGACGGGGCTCCACTGCCCGGCCGGTCCGCCTCTCTCTTAGATCATTGCAGTAGATGTTGCTGTGTTTGCATTGGGCCCGTTCTCTTAGCAACCGCACAGGCTCTATTTCGTGGAGCTGTGGCACGGTGGTAGGAGCTGGTGTCGTGCACAGTCTGTCTGTCTGGACCTGGCCTTTACGCCCAGCCTCAGACTAATGGGCCATAAACATGGCATTGTGAAACAAACGTATTAGTTATTCTGTTCTATGAATAAAGTAAGAAAGAAAGCACAAGGCATTTGCTTCTCCCAAGTACTTTAGTTTAACCTGTGGCTGCAATTGCGCCATCAGCTATTGGCCCAGTACTGTTATGAAAGTATGTGAGCCATACTGTATCACTCACACAGCCTTCGTGAAGGTACTGTGTTGCCTACCACCAGGGGCGCAACTTTCACTGGGGACGGGGGGGACATGTCCCCCCCACATTCTGAAATTGCATTTTTGTCCCCCCCAGTTTTATCATTGGAATGTGATACAAACCGAGGCAATGGTGTGCTTTAGGACCATGCGGACGCCTCCGAGTGGTCGGGTAGGCTGTTTGAAGTATATTATGTCCCCCCCACTTCTAAAACCAAAGTTGCGCCCCTGCCTACTATACATACTGTACCACTTCATTACAGAAAGAGGATGCACACATCTGAAGAGGTTGAATGAATGATTGGACTTG